GAGAGAGGAAAGGTTGAATGTAGTTTAAAGAGGTCAACGAACAGCTCTCGGGCCGGTAGGTCGCCATCAAGTGCTAGCAGCCTGCGAATTAAAGCAGCATTCACGTAACAGGTCACAAACGCGTCTGCTGTCTGGCCCGCTGGACAATTTGGCCAATCGACTGCGCTGAAACACTCAGTCGCCTTCAGCCAATCAGCAGAGCGGAAAGACTCCAAAAAAGAGGGCAAGAGTGGCAAAATAATCGCAACGGTTGAACCTCTACCAACTTTGTTCATGATTTTATCAAAGTACATTTCGTCAAACGAAATTCGACGCGGGGTTAATGGCCGTACTGCATTTTTCTCTAGTGACTTATTTGCCTTTCTTTTGGGCGTGGGAGTCACATTCTTCTTCGTCTCCTCATCCTCTGTTATGATGTGTTCGAGAGGTGGAAGATGAACTAGGACTGGCCATTTTTCACGCATACGTGATAGATACACACCAACGTCAGGCTTCTCCAAGGCGCCTTCAATACTAACTTCCCGACTCCTACCATTATCAGACCCCGTGTACTCGAAACTGTCAAAGAATTCGAAAGAACTGGCGGTGCTTTGCACGCGTTGGAGACTTAATGGTCGCCTTCGAAAGTTCCTCCTTGTAATTTTAAGGCTGGGAACAGGGTGTACCATCTCAGGATATCGGAACTGAAGATAAATCGAGTTTGGCTCCCATTTTAAACTTTCGATCGGGAAGAAACACCTAGAACCAGGAGGAACAGGCGGAGGAGAGGAAAATGTATCTTGAGTGGTCCTGATAGTCTGTGCCGGAGGCATCCATTCAGAAGAGCGACTGATGTAGGCCGTAAAACGTTTAGCTCGTGCTTTTGACTTCCTTCTTGCTGCACTCTTCAAGGTGCTTTCATAATCTTCCGCCTGCTTTTCGAATGTTCTAACACTTTGACGCAAGACGTCGATTTCCCTCGGTTCTGTTTTATTGCCTTCATCCTCCCGGAGACTCCAGTCCTGCCGGGCGATGTCAGTGATGCACTTTTGTGAAAGACCATAGGGCACGGCGTAGGCTTTGCCCAGAAATGTCTGGAAGATTGATTCGAAGGTGCTGGTGTCGATCCTTGAAGCAGCAGACTTGGTTGAACGAACGACTGGCGACATCAGAGCGACAAGGTCGTCCCTAACTGCAATCAGGTTTTGCAAGCTGAGTATGTATTCCGTTTCCACGCTTTCGAACCAGTCATAATCGCGAGGTCCTGCTGGTTCTGTGAAACATCCAGCGGGCGAAGGACCCCAGGAGCTCGGACTTTTAACCTGCGATGAAGAATACACAAAAAATGTATATGCATAAAAATTCGGGTTCCAGATATGTTTTCGCTCTCATCGTCTCGCAAAGAAGAGGAAGAAGAAGATAGAGAGGGTTCGTGGGCCAAATTATATTTAAACCGACGTTTCGGAACCCTTCTCGCTTCCATCGTCTGAGTATTGTAGTTGCTGCGTCTAGTGGTCTTGAGTTAGCCAGCTTTGCCGTCTGCCTCCTATTATATCCGTGCTGGATGCGCGAACTTTTATCTGCCCGTTCTCCTGGAGGTTAACTGCTGGTGGGCTTGCGTGACCTACAGTGGTCACGCGGTCAACATCGAACACTGTCTCATTGTCATACCAGCAAAGCGAAGAACAACTCAAGCGAACAGCAGCGAGTGATCAGTCCGCCGGTTGACGTGGGGGAGGCCAGCAAGCATATCGACTCGCTTTCAACTACGCTGACTGTAGAGGGGGCGAAAGTCACGCAAGCCCACCAGCAGTCAACCTCCGGGAGAACAAATGTAGTCGACACCGAACGGGCAGGTAAAAGTTCGCACGTCCATCACGGATATAATAGGAGGCAGACGGCAAGGCCGGCTAATTCAAGACTACTAGACGCAGCAACTACAATACTCTGACGATGTAAGCAAGAAGGGTTCCGAAACGTCGGTTGAAATATAATTTGGTACACGAACCCGCTCTGTCTTCTTCTTTCTCTTCTTTGGGAGACGATGAAAGCGAAAAAAGTTTCTGGAAGGTAGAACTGCAAACAAAATCATGCAAAAGGTAATACAGAAGGCATCATTTCTGCTCTGGTCAAACTGCGACACGAGGTCGGGCAATATGTCTTTAATAAAGCTCCGGACTAAAACTCTGACAGGTGGTCGCATAGAAATAGAAATGGCAACATGAGCGGAAACGTCCTGATCTCTTCCTGCTCAGTGCTAATGAACGAGGCCTTACATCGAAGGCCTTCCAAGGGTAGTATTTGGGATCGTGTTGCCTGAAGATAATGATCGTGGTTTATACTTATCAAATGGTGTTGTACCCAACGTTTGCCAAAACCTGCTATTTTATAACTTTTCGCAAGCCATCCTCTTCGAGCAGTATCTTTCGTTTTCGTGGAAGTCATTAATCTCGGTGCTCTCTTGCAATTAAAACTGTTTTAGTTCTTATGTTGCTGGAAATTTTCAGAAAGTATGAGTAACCACATATATTTAGCTTCGTAATTAGTGAGTCAGTCTGCACTCAAATAAAGTATGTTCTTTAATGTAAAAACAAGGGGAAATCGGCATGGTTCAGGGACTCTGTGGCGCATTACCATGCAAAATACAAGGTAAATGAGGCAGAAAGCCTAAAACGCATTTTTTGGCGGGAAAAAAGTTTGGTGGAATCTCCTGAATCGTAAGCCCCAATAATTTCTCATGTATAGCCCAGTAAGCGTAGAGGAGTTTGTAGCAGTTATTCAGGCGGACGGTAATGTCAAGCTCATGCCTAGATGAAATCAGGCTCTTGTCAGATCAAAACCTATCTAGTAGTCTAGCGATATGACTACAAAAGTGCTACTTTCTCGATTTCAAAAGACGGTTGTCTGCATTAAAGTTGACTCAGGCGGACATTTCATGGTGCAAATGCAGTGAACGTGTTTTACGCTGTTCTTTTTTAAACGTCTCACCTATTTTACCGTTAATACGCCGTTATTATTCTTATACATCTTGCGTTCTAATAAGACCTGTAACAATTTTGTGCAAAATAACTACGTTTAATGTGTACCTGTACCGTTTCAATGAAGTTTTTAAGAGCTTCCGTCATTTACTCCAAATAAACTGACTTATTTAGTAGATAGGCGTACACCGATCAGATACAGGGTGCACCCACCCTCGTTTGTGATGTCCAGTGTCTAAGGGATACCCCAAACTTTGCCACATGGCTAATTTTTAACATTTTTGTTATTAAAGGACACATTACCGTAAGACAGAAGTCCCATGGCTGAACCCTCTGTTCACGCGTATCGAAATAGTCCGACTGGCAGCAACCCCCCTGGGTTAAGATAAGCCTCGGCGCGTATAGCGCCTGCCATCACGACCGTCTCCCCCTTTCCACCTCCCCTACTGCGTACAAGGGGCATTCAGCGATAGTGGCCTCCAAGTCTCAAATCAACACGATCTGTGACAAAAATGGGTCACTCAGCCACCCAATCGTGAGTGTCCTAGGCGTCCTGCTAAGGGAGACGAGTGTTCGATTGCCCACTGAAATTTATTGTTGACAGTCTCACTTATCTACCGGAAATGAACGGTCGCCCGGGTATCCTA